GTATATTTTTATTCCTATGACCATTAAGAGAAATAGAGTTCGCAAAACTGGATATTGAGCAATGTGTGTCTTAAACTATTTATTATTCCTTATCTCAATTAATTTTCAAAACAGCATTGAGATATATATCATTCACAGCGCACAGATAAGGAAACTGGAGATCAACATGGGAAATTGACAAACGTCAGGCAAAATACGGTGGGGTGGGAATTTGTCTCGGAAGCCTGCCTCCTTTCCGAGGCTGACGGCCAGTTCTGCTTGTTCCCAGACATTGGGACTGAGTCTAGATGGATGCATTTTGTGACTTTTTTAGTTTGCTAGGGCTGCCGTCACAAAATACCCTAGACTGGGTAGCTTAGGCAACAGAAATTTATTTCCTTGCACTCTGCAGGTTAGAAGTTCAAGATCAATATGTCCGCAGCATCAGTTTCCTCTCAGGCATCTCTTGCAAATGGTCGCCTTCTTTTTGTGTCTTCGCATGAACTCTCCTCGCTGTGTGCTGTGTCCCCATCGCTTTCTATAAGGACATCAGTCATGTTGGATTCGGGCCCAGCCAGATGACCTCTTTTTGCCCTAATCACCTCTTTAAGTATCTCCCAATACAGTCACCTTCTGAATTACTGGAGGTCAGGACTTCAACATGTAAATTTTGGAAAGATCCTGTTCAGCCTGTAACAGTGACCAAACAGTATGGACAAAGCTCTTTATCCTTCCCTTACCAGGGATCTCTACTTGGCTTTTCACATCAATGCAATCACTGTTTACCCAAAATATTTTTTACCCTGTAGTACAAAAAGGTTTACATTCTGAATGACTGGGCAAATGTCAGGATTAAGATAACTCACTCCAGAGATGAGGCGTGGGAAGGATGGGTAACAGGAAGCCGCTGTCTCCAGGTGTCAGCCTTGAGAGGAGATCCCTTCTTAATTTCCCTGAGGGACAGGAGGGAACGCGTGAATGCCACTGGCAAACACAGATGGCATTTAGAGCACGGTTCTCCCTAAGGCTTGTTGGCTACCCATCCGTGGCTGCAGGAAGCAGTTCTGTGGGTCCTGTCTCTGGTGCCCAACAGAGGCGCGGAGGATATGGGGTCCAGGAGTTCAAAGTCAGGCACACACGAGGATGTGCCAAGTGATCCTAGTCCCTTTGTTTAGCTTCTCTGAGTAACAATCGTCCCTTTATTCTGTCTGTCATTAAAGGATGGCAACAGATGTAAAAGAGTGGCTTTTAAATGTTGCTGGGAAAAGGAAATATTAAAATCTAAAAAAAAATAATAATAATAATCAATGGAAGAGAGCAGTGGCCCCCTTCTGACTAACGGCATTCTATAATCTCTTGACTTTGGGGATAATGAACTACATCTCAAATCTACTTGGTTTATTTTACTAAAATTATCAAATTAACATATAGGAAGAAGAAGACACGGGAACTGCAACGTATGGCGCGTGTTCATTTGGTACCTGGCACTGGGGATAGACAGCTGGAGAGAGAGGGAATTTAATTTCCTGGGGCCCATACGCCTCTGAGTGATTGGCAGGCTAATTTTGCTCTCCACTAGGCCTGGTATTGAAAGGAAGTGAAGATGCAGAAAGCTGCCAAGAACTGTTCCTTGCGTTGGCAAAAATTCTAGACCTCATTAGAAAAATCAAGAACTAGATTCAGAAATTTGGAAGGCCATGGTGAAAGGGGATTTTTCAAGTAATGATAATTATTAAATATTGTCAGAGCATCCTTTTACAGGTACTTGGTCTCTGGTTAAGCTTATACAGTATTACACTGACATGCTTCTGTCCTCATGTTGAGAGGTTCAGAGAATTTAATAAATTGCCCAAGGGCACACAGCAAATTGGTAACAGATGCAGGTCTCAAACTGGGTTCTTCTAAATCTGGGCCCGGCTCTTTGTCACCTGCCTGTGCTGGCTCCACTGGAGCCCTGTCCAGAGAGGCCTAGCAGTCAAGAGTTTGGCTGATCTGCAAAGCTAGAGGGGAGCAAGCCCAGGGTGGTCCAGAGATTTTCCTTTCTTGCCACCCTCTGCTCTTTGGGGATAGGATTTTCATCCCACAGCAGTTAAGTGCACAAATACTGTAGTAAGCGAGACACAAGTTCTAATTCAAGCTTCAAGGTCATGTGACCTTGGGCAAATTATCTCATCGCTTTAAGTCTGGATTTCCTTGTTTGTAAGAAGAGGATGATAAAACCAGTATCATAGAATTGCTTTGAAAATAAGATAAATCTGTGTGTGTCTGTGTGTATTGTTTAGTAAGGTGTCTGACTCTTAGTAAGGCTTAGCTAAAAAAAAAAAAAAAAAAAAAATGGTTACAAAAACATCCTTGTCCAAAGAGAGAGAGGGAATCCCAGCAATCCTCAGTCCTCAAAGCCGGCTTTGCCAGGGCTGGCAAGGGTGTGACTTGCTGTTGAAGACCACACATTTCTTTGTTTCCATCTCTGCTAGTAGTGGTGCCCACAGTCCCCCTCACACTCACTGCTGCTCCCTCAAAGCCAGAGAACCAGAGCTGAGCAGCAGAAACCCTCCCTCTCAGTGGCCCGGCCCCTGCTGCCGACAGACAGAGGGGTCAAGGAAAGCCTCAGGACCCGAGGCAGAGAGAGGAATGGAGTGACAGAGATCAGTGTTGGACCCAAGATGATTAACCGTGCCGACCTGGGGCACTGGCGCTAGGGAGACGGCCAGATCGATGGATTCCAAGCAAACGAAGAGCGTGGCGCATTCAGCAGCCAAGCTGTGACGTTAAACACAGCGACGGCGCCAGGCGTTTGGTGAGCGATGAGGGTGACGAAACAGGACACATGTATCTGGGAAACAACACTGAGAGGCCAGCTCTAATTCTGAAAAATGTCTTTGCTCCTTGTCACCTTTCAAAGGCACAATCGCAGTTCTGTGAGTATGCATGTAAGAATATGAATGTGTGTGTGAGCACGTGCCAGCGTTTGTGTGTTGGGGGGGTGTGCATGTAAACACGACCCCTTTGTCTTCTTATTCCACCAGGGCCCAGTAGTGCTGGGGAATGTGTTGTTTATTAGGTAGGTGCGAATAGAATTTCATTCCCATGGTTCCGAGAATCACAGCATATTAAAACTATTCAAATATATCCCGTGTACTTATATACTCTGTGGAAAATGTTCTTGTAAAATTAACATATACTCTATTACCTCCTTATTAATGGGAAATTCTGAGGGACTGCCTTCATCCATCACAATAAGCTGGGCCCCTCAGCGTTCCCTGCCACGAGCTGACAAGGCAAGCTCTGAGGTCCACAGGGAGCCAGGAGGGAAGGCCGTCCCTTTTCATCCACGCAATACCCACCCTATGCAGAAAAGGGAGGACCTCAAGACCAGGGGGCAATTATGTTGCAGCCCTTATTCTGTGAACACACTCAAAAAGACACGAATGTTCCCGCTAAATCAGTGACTCCATCAGCCTTGATCCACAGGCCTTGGCAGTGGCAGAGGGACTGCAGGAAGCCACGTGGCTAAGAACCCACTTTCTTATTGCCATGTTGGGCAGCTTCTAGGAGTGCTTCCTGGCTGTAGATCTTCTTCCCTTTCAAAGCAGGTTGGGGGTGGTGCACAGCCCTTGCTCGGGCTAGGAGCCAGATACATGGCAGCTTAATTTTCCCCATTATGCATGGCAAATACCAAGAAGCATTCCCAGGTGTGTCTGCAGCCGTGTAAATCTGACATGAGTCACAGTGTCTTCGGAGGAAATGAAAGACCACAGGACGGGGACATGGCATCATGAAAAAAGACGCTTTGTGATTTTCAACATACGGTGACACTTTTCCTAATTTAGAGGGGGAAGCTGGGTTTTGAGTTTTCTTTTATGCCCCCTCTTTGTGAAAAGCAAGGGAAAGAAGATTTAAAGAACATCTGTGTATTCAAATGATAGAAATAGAATTATACACTTTCAGGAACAAACTCTAGTATTTTTGTCTCTTTCGAAGATTTCCGAAGCCTATAGATTTATCTCTCGTGTGTGTTTTAGAGCATTTCCTCTGAGGCCTTAGACATAGTTGAAATTGTTTTTGTCTTTTTCCCCTTTCTGCTAACCCAGCCCCCACTTCATTCTGTTGATCTCCTTTAATTGGACATAAGATAAAACTGAGTATGTTCAATATTTTTATTGAATTGAGTTTTATGTTTCCGGTCTGGATTTATAGACTGTTAAATAGAATGGTTTACGTTTCTCTCTCTCTCAAAGAAAATAACAAATACATGTGGGACAGAGCCATCAGTCAATTATATCAGTGGATTGTTGGCAACTCACAGGTGGAAAAAAAAGAGCATTTTCACTCTACTCTTAGGGGAAAGCAATTATATTTAAGAGCAGTAGAAAGTCAAAACTAGTCTGGAACTTCAAAACGCCTTTCTTGACTGACCAAGAAAAGGTACAGTGACTACAATGACAAACCAGCCCCTAGCTCCTTTAGAAAGCTACTCTGCCTCATGCTAAAGAGAAAATAAGTGATGTTTCAGCCTCTGCGACCAGGCAGGAATAGAAAAATACATTGACAGTAGTTGGACAGACCATAAAATTAAGTAAAAAATTCTTAATGTACAAGATCTCAGTTTTCCCACAAACCTCCTTTCTGTTCAGAAATTTCCAAACCATTTTCTGCCTGACCATGTCAGGAATGACATTCTTCCTTGTTCTTGATTTTCTTTCCTGGAATGTTTTAATCCAGAACACTTCTCCCCACTTCCTCTAGGCCCTACTCACAGCAATGTAGCTGACACATAGCATTAGGGTGCAAAACCTCAAATCCTTTCTGACTTGAAACTTCACCCAGGAAAGACCTCTTAGCAAAAGTGCTGGCCATTGTGTCACAAGACAAACCCCTTTCAAAGAGCAAAGCCATCATCATCTCAACAGTCACAGTCACCGTCTGGACCTTCCGTCCTGAGGAAAGGATTCTCCACCGAATCTGGGGGGAAGACCCCCCACCAGTCCGTGCAAAAGATGAAGAATTGAGTATGCACCTACCTGTGCCCTTCCACTTCCACCTCTTCCCACCTTCCCCGTTTCTTTTTCCGCTCATTTTTTTTTCCACTTTAAAAACATCCAACTTTGCCTTGGGGATGAGCAGAATGAAATGTCACTTACCTATAAAAAGAGACAGAAGAGAAAGCCATGCATCACATTACACACAAGTTCTTTGAAATCAAGGCCAGCTTCCGACTTTGAAACTGTAACAATGAGTGAATATTATTTTTTCATCCTACCTTTCTATATTTAATGAAACTCAGGATTTTGCAAGTAACCCATCCCCAGGGCCCAGTCTCCCTTCATGATTTTCCTTTTGTTTCTTTGCATCCCCCGTCCCTCTTCACCACCCTAGCCCCACATCATCTGTCCCAGCTTCATGGATGAAAGGTCAGGAAGGAATAAGGGGGGGTGCACAGACCCAGAGATCAAGGCCTGCCCTCAGATGTTGGCAGCAAGGTTTCGAGGCACGAGGAGCTGGTTTTTGCCTCTTTTCTCACAGGCCACAGAGCTAAGACCCAGGGTCAGTGCCGGCTGGAGCCTCTCGGGAGGAGGGAGGAAGGTCAGCTCCCCGCAGGGTGACTTTCCACCCGGTGGCTTCGGGGCTCTTTCAAATGACTCTGCTCTGAGTCTTCCTCCTCTCTCCCTCCCTCACCCTCACCCCCCAGCTCTCCTGGTTTGGGTGTGAATGAATTCACCCAAGGTCTCCATCCCCCACTTCATCCTGCAGCATCTATCTTTCAGACCTGCTTCTACAGAAAATCTCATTATTGCAGCACCCTGAGGCCAACAACCACCTGAATGGGTCATTGTGTTCAGGCCCCTGTCTCAGTACAGGATGCAAACTGGTCCACCTGAGTCCTGTGGGACCCTTTGAGAACCCTGAGATGCTGAGTCCCTGCCTTGCCTGGCTCCTGGCCCCAGAGGCTCCCTGTCTTCATGCAGCAAGCTCCTTGAGGCCGAATGATTCGGTTCTGTCCTGTTGGCTGAAGGGAAGCCAGGCTCTGAGCATTCAACTTGCAAGAACAGCCCCTCACCCACCACGCTATGTAGTGGATCCTTCACATGCTCACATATTGGAAAATTGACTTCAATGTCCTGCTAGTGCCTTCTTCTTATTATGCCTGAATAACTCAGTTCCTTTTAGCCTATTCTTGGAGATTTCAGTTTTCCATCTTTCCTCCTCCAAGCTCCTATGAGACCCTCTGTGGAGGACAGCTCAGAGCTGAGCCCTGGAGAGAAAAGCAGCCATATGTCCCCCAATTCTGTTGCTGCATCCCCCAATCAAGATGCTCTGCCAGAAACGGAATTACGGTCAAATATTGCATCCTGATCACATTAGTATATTGAAGACTTGGAGAGGGTTCGAGGTAAACATCTATGCTTAAACTTTTCCTAACAGTATTTGACTCAGAAATATTTCTTGCTATACATAAATTAAAACACCATACTTCACGAGGATGACCAGTTTTTTTCTCATTATGAATGTTAAACTAAATACAATTGATCTGATATTATCACAAGCAGTGGCCAGAGGACCCTGAAGTCAATGGTCCACCCACCATGCCCTACAGAAAGCGTGGGCTGAGGGCTCAGTATACAGGGTCTGGCTCAACTCCCTCACCCAGTGCGATGAAGGGCTATCGCCTCGCTCCCTGAAGCTCTCTCACCTGTGAGATTTGAAGACCCCGAAGCACCCTGCACACTAGGGTGTGGTGAAGCTGCAACGATACTTGAAATGTGCTTTTCAAACTGTAAAGAACAAAACACTTCAAGGGGCTGGTGGCGTCAGTACCTCTGTTCTTGAGGCCACACTCATGGGAGAAGAGATCACTTGGCCTCAGCTGCCCTGGGAGCTGGTGAAAAATGTGTGGTTTTGACTGCGGTCAGTCAATGAGACATCAGAGGCAGCAGTTCCATGAATACTTCCCTGGCTCTGGACCCTGAGGGAGGGAACTGATCTCAGAGGTCTTTTCCATCTTTAATATCTATGCCTACATGTCTCCCTCTATTGCACAGGGAAGCGCTCTCTGCCTTCTCGGTGCTTACATCTATTTTTTTCTTCTTTTTGGAGTCTCACTCTGCCGCCCAGGGAGTGCAGTGGTGCGATATCAGCTCACTGCCAACCTCTGATGCCCGGGTTCAAGCGATTCTCGTGCCTCAGCCTCCCGAGTAGCTGGGATTACAAGCGCCTGCCACTACGCCCAGCTAATTTTTTGTATTATTAGTAGAGACAGGGTTTTGCCATGCTGTCCAGGCTGTTCTCTAACTCCTAACCTCTGGTGATCTGCCCACCTCAGCCTGCCAAAGTGCTGGAATTACAGGCATGAGCCATCGCGTCCAGCTGCTTACACCTTTTAAAGCTTGTGATCCTGCTGTCTCTGCTCTGTGGCTTTGCGTCTGGGCAAGTTTCTCCGCAGACCAGGAACCTCTAAGTAGGGGGAGGAAAGAGAGGCCGCTGAATCAGAGCAAGACATGCCGTCCTCGTCTGCCTCCTCTGTTACTCTTGAATAAGAGAGAATGCAAGGACAAACGGGCATCCACATAATGACGCGTCCATGTAGGTTGGTGTAAGAGCTGCACCACGTGGGTGTGGAATGTCAACAGTTGGGGAGGCTGTGGGGCAGTGGGAAAAGGGGTCTGTGAGAATACTCTGTATTTTCCTCTTATTTTACTGGAACCTAAAACTGCTCCAAAAATAAAGTTTATGAATGAAAACAAATCACAGGCCCTTAAGTTCTTATTCATTCAAGAAAATCTTCTCAAGCACATTCTGTGTGTAAGTCCCAGAATAATTTCTTATTGAATGGGAACATTCTGAGAGATGACTGCATTTTCTGTGTACAGTGGACAGAATGTAAGAAACGGGACTAAGATCCTAGCCCTGGGAGAGATTGAAAGCTTAATGGAAAGAGAGCAATATGTCTATAAAAAGTAAGGGAAATAGAAAACCATGCTGTCCCACGATTATCTCCCCACCCCACCCCTTTATCTGTGCAAACCTTATCTACAATTTAAACCCAGCTTAAGTGCCACCTGGCCCCTCAGGTCTCTTCAGAGCTCATCTCAGAATGTGTCACTCACGCCTCACTCTTCCCCTCATACTCAGCAGCTTGCTGCCTGCCTTGCCCGGTGGTTCTGTTCTATTTCACCATGTATTTGAGTCTGCTGTTCCCACTCTGCTTCTACATTTTGACTTTGCAACCCTGACAACATCTAGCCCAGGGTTTTCTGCAAAATGAGTTGAAAGAAAGCTCGAGGTTTCCAGACCTTTGTGAATGTGGAATTTGCAGATGAGAGATTGTGGGTCTATGCGCACTACTGCGATATGCTGAGATAGTGCTGAGACTCCAGAGATAAGAGATATGATGCCTGCCTCCTTACGTCCTGGCGAGGCACACAGATGAGGAGACGCTGAGCTGTAATATGGCATCCTATTGACAAGACAGAGGTGGGCATGGGGGGCTCTGAGGAGACACAGGAGAAGTGTCTTCTATTTTGGTGCTAAGAACAATACAAAGGAAAAACAAACTGGAACTGGTGGAGACCACCAGCAAAAACTTCCAAGGAGAGGCTGGCCCTTTGCGAGCAGCTGCCTGATGACATGCAGCATTAAAAACACTGGTCCACCCTCTGCCCTTTATTCTTCCACGCCAGGGAAAGCTTGCCTTATTTTTCCCCCTTCTCGCACTGCAGAGTTCTTCTGCGATGGAATTTCCCACTGACCTTTCCCAAATCCAAGGCTGGCCTCAGATGCTTGCCTCTCCAAAGGACTCAGGACCCTAGATAGCAGCTAACTCTCAGACTGGGCCAGTGCTGGCTTGATGCTGGGCCTCCACTCAAGGGTCCCCTCGCCTGACCCTTTTCGAAGACTTTTTTTTCCCTTTTTTTTGGCTGGTCTTTATAGGGCCATTGTAAAACCACAAGTGGAAACAGCTCAACTGCTCAAAGACGGTTTCATCTGAAGAGCTTGTCCTTCTCCAGGCCGGCCATCGTCCCGCTAACAGTGAGTGCAGAGAAGCACTCCGTTAACCCCCTCAGTCCCAGAGCCAGGGACACTTCTCAGCCTCTGAGAACTGAGCAACAGTGCCAGACCACCACGGTGGCTCACGGAGCACAGAGGGCTCGGTCAAACCTGAAAAGAACAGATTCCACGTGTAGTTCAAGTGCTTTCTGCAGAAGTGGGTTATCATCTCCTTGGGAAGTGTTTATAGTGACAGTTCCATACCTACTCCAGACTCGGACCTAGACGAGCTCTGTCTCAAACACCCTCTCTGAAGACTTTTGGGCCTCCAAGAAAAGGAAAACAGGGTGAAAAAGCCAGGGCTCAGCACGCAGGAGCAGAACCAGGTAGTGCTCCTTCCTCCTCCTCCCCGGCTCTCATGCCCCGCCCTCCTCCTTTGTCCAAACTGAACCGCAAAACCCATCAGTAGGAGCTCTGCCTCCTGTGACCTGCAGCAGTATATCTGTGACACAGGCTACAGGTGGCCAAGCCTCCAACTCCTTCTCCTTAGCATCTGTCAAGGACCTATGTCAAGTCCCAAGTCTATCCATGCGGTTGGGAGGATGGTTCCTCAATGCCTGCAGTTCTTCACTGGATTCAGAAGTGCCTCCTCACAGCCCATGCTGCATCACAGGAAGGAAAAGAAAGGGAGAGTTGCTTCTGTGTCTTTTTAGGGGGAGAAATGAAGTGGGGTCATCTAGAGGTGCAGTATTTTTAGGCAAGTCTTTTTAAAAGACTATGTGGGTGGATTTAAAATCTTTTCTCCAGCCACCCGCCTAACTGGGATGGTGGTGGTATGGAGACGAATCTCTTACACTTTTTTTCCTGTAGTCTTTTCTTTCCTTGCATAAAACACTGCTGGAATGCAAAGCCTTCTCCCTTTACCTACCCACGTCTCCTCTATGCCCTAGAGTGTGAGGTCTGGCACTAACACTTCGCTGGTGGGAATACTGAGGCCCAGGAAAATGGCAGGCGAGGATCTGGTGGATTTGAGGGAAATAAAGGAGAAGCAGAGATAACTGACTACTGATTTAGGCTGTTCCTCATCTGCCCTCCCATTCCTTCCCAGGCTGAGGGAGGAGGTCCTCCCGGGACCTAAGGCACAGGTTCAATGGTG